AGGTGACACCTTTAACACTAATGGGCTGTCTCCTTTGCTATATACTCTTAGGGTGAATCACAGCCCTTCTGTGCCTCAGTTTTCCAGCCTATACAATGGAGATAATAAATCATGTGCTAGTTCATGAATTCAGTGAAAATCTGCTGATTTTGGGGCAGGAATTTGAAGTGCTGCAAATTTGTTGCTACTAATACAGAATTAAAACCTACGAAGTCATTTGAATGACAACAATTCAAATGCAAATGATGCACAACCGTTTTACTCTGTATCTCTGAATGTATAGACTGTATGACACAGTATGGTGCTACCTGAAACAAGATAATTTGAGTACAAGGAAGGAATAGTCTGTTAGAGTAAGGAGCAGCCTGAGTTGAATTAACTATTTCCCAGCAGTTAAGGCAACTACATTTCTTGCAACTTGTTTTGTCTGCTGACTCTGAAGTTTGTGCAGGTATGCTTTGTATCCTCCTCTTCGTGGTAGTCATTCCAAAATATTATTATTGTGATACCTCTACAGTGCAAGGCTGGTGAGGGCCAGGAACCCCAGTGGAGGTCCATCCAGCTGGCTGCTCTGATTAATGGTTAGCTCACTCCCTGGTTCTTTCTGTTCCAAAGGTCTCTCCAAGACAATAGTAGGTTTTGTTTTGGAAATGGCCCATTCTGGAGGTATTATGCACCATTTTTTGACTTTTTCCATCCTTCAGCTCTTGCCCAACATGGGCATTTGGATTTTTGAATGTGCACAATGCTCACTTGCATGCCTTGTGACTGCCATTTTGCTGGGTTACAGTGTAGTCTCTAGATTGGTTCAGATACTTTGAACTGAAACGTACTCACTGCTAATATTTTCTCAGGTGTGTGGGGCCAGATAATGAGGCCCAAACACCCTCCATCAGATACCATGAGGTATGGACGTGACCAGTTTGCAATAAGGAGAGGTATTTCTAAGCTGTGTGGATGTGAGCCAGAAGGTTACCATTCATCTTGTATTTAGCACTGCAGACCTTGGTCACTGGGATTGCTTTTGACCCACAGGTGGGCTGGCTCTGCCCTGCCACTCCAGAGCAGTTGTCTGTCTTCTGACCTTTGTTTTGGGTCATTTTTCTTTCTCTTGTTTTTCTCAATTACTTGTATTTCCTTGCTTTTACTTTTCTTACTGTTCATACCCCTTTTCTCCTCTTCATCTTAATTCTCTATCCTCTTCCCTCTAAGGCAGCTGACCAGTACAGACTTGGTGCTGTGCTGGATTCCCTGGATGGAGATTAAGATGCAAGAACACAGAGTAAAAACACATCTTAAGTGTGCTGCCTGAATCAATGTGTATTGTGCACATGTATCTGGTGTCTGTATTCTCATTTCTAGCTCTGTTAGAAGATATCTGTAATCCAGAGAGGGAAAGCAGATGGCTTTCAATGAGTTATCAGCTATTAAAAAACACCCAACCAAAACAAACAGCAGAAGCATTTTCAGACTTGGAAGTAAGATGGAGTTGTTTAATGCTATTTTTCCTATTCCTTCACGCCTCCCTCCCAAGTATTACAACTTCTTATAAAAGGTATTTACACAGAAGCTTTCTGCTTAATTCAAGTTATTCTTCTTTGTATAAGGACAATAAAGATCCCTTTTCTAGTGGAGAAAGTGTTTGCTGGGGAGTACTTAACACTTCTATCATTCTTGAACATAAGAATTTCCAATGTGCTTATCCTCCACTTTGTAAGTGTCCTGAAAAGGACAGAATTATGCAACAGGAAATGGCAGTACTTCTTTAACATCAGGTTCAGTGCACTCTTACATTCATCTCTATTGATCGTAATGTGAACATTTTACTCAGTAATTTCATTTTCTGAGCAGCTGTGAACATTAAACTCTCCAGGATTTCATGGCCTTGAGTTTAGCAGCTTCTTGGGAGCAGAGCAAAGCAGAGTATTAAACTGTATAGCAGATTCTATTTCTAAAGTTTTATTTTTGCCGTGGCAGAAAGCTAGCAGTATGCTTTTTCCATGGGTGTTTCCTTTGGTTTGGCTACAACAGATAACTGATGAGAGAAGAGCAAATTTCCGTTCTTCTGCGCATTTGCTGAATGTTCTTTCCTTGCCCAGAGGACCACGGCTCAGCCACAGACATAGAAATGAACAGGATGAAATGTGATGGATCTTGAAATGTCTTTAGATGAATGACAGAAGCTGGCTCTATGTCGTGGTTTAAACCCAGTCAGACAACTCATTCACTCACTCCCCCCCTTCTTTCCCTCCCCCTGCTCCCGGAGGGATGGAGAGGAGAATCGAAAAGAATGCAACTTCCACGGGTTGAGATAAGAACAGTTTAGTAACTAAGGTATAACACAAATCACTGCTGCTACCACCAATAATAATAATGATAAAGGAAATAACAAGGGAAGAGAATACAACACCTCAGCACCCACCGACCGATAACTTGCCTCTCCCCAGCCCAACCAAGCACTGACCGATACCTCCTCCAACCCCGTCGTCCACCAGCCCTTCTAGCTAACTCCCGTTACATCCTGGGCATGACGTGCTGTGGTATGGAATACCTCTTTGGTCAGTTTGGGTCAGGTGTCCTGTCTCTGCTTCCTCCTGGCTTCCCCTCCTCCCTGGCAGAGCATGAGGCTCACAAAGTCCTTGGCCAGATCAAAACGTCATTGTTATCAGCTCTGTTCCCAGGCCGAAAGTCAAAACACTGCACTGCACCAGCTACCAAGGAGGAGAAAAATGACTGCTACTGCTGAACCCAGGACACTGTAATTCTACTTTTTTTTTCTAATAATGTCTGTTTCAATTTTTGTTGCTTGACTTTGGAGACGATCATGCAAACAAAAAGCTGGCTGTCTTACGTTCATGTCTCATATAGAGATATGTTGGAAAGCTGCATAATCTCTTGCAGTTTCCATTTAAGAAAACACAGAAATTAAATAATCCCCATATAATCTCATATATTTCCTATTTAAGAAAATAATTTTAAAGAAATTAAATTGTTTTTCCTTTTTTTAATTCCTGGGAACAAGTAATAGTTCTGGACATCTGGTGAGTATTTTGGGTAGAAAGCATCGTTTTACTGTTGTTATTTAACTAGGACTTTGTGATTTTATTCATGATTTTGAAGGCTTGGCATGGAGGGGAAAAGGAGAAAGCCAAAGCAGGAGGAGGAGTGAAGGTCACATATTTTGACCTTTATGCATCCTTACCCAGGTATGGCTGAATTCACTGAATTTCTGGCAGAAAACCCATCAATGACAGAATTGTCGCATGTTTTAAATAATATGGGTGGCAGAAGCAGATAAAAATGACATACCTAAGTGACATTTCCAGTAGTTTTAGAAAAAAAAAAGTGATGTACATTTCACTAAACTGTACTTTTTATTCCATGTTGAAAGTTAGTCTCCCTGGTCTGACCAGTTGTTATATGAACATGTAACTGTGTTATATTAATTTTATAAGCATAATGCATTTATTATCTGTGATTAAAACTTAACCACAAATTACAGAACAACTATGGAAATGCTTTGTTTTGCCCAGAAAGTAATTAAAATGTATCCTTTGTATGCAACTGGAAAAAGGAAATGTGTGGAAGAGCTCTTAAGCACTCCATAGCCTGATATCCTCAGAAAGATTAGATGAAAAGTCATAGACTGTGCATTCAAAACCTGAAGCATGCTGCGTTCATCTTTTGTCCCACTTGCACTTGTCCACTGAGAGCTCTTAGCTCAGATGTGTGCAGGTTAAGTGTGTGTGTGTGTAAAAGCTTGGAGATGGGGATACTGAAACTGAGGTTAATCTTGCCAGACTTTAGTCATCTAAAAGATGCCTAAATTTAAGACAAGTGTCTAAGCTCTTTTGAGAACTAATGACTTGAAACAAGTACTTCCAGAGTGCAATCTCATCCAGAGGGTAATTGGCTAAGAGAGGCCAATAAATTAACTAGAGAGAGAACAATTAGCTGTTAGCTGAAGTTAAGTGACATGAAAGCCTTTCTGTCATCAGCGCTTCTGCATGTGAACAGCTTTGACAAATTGTGGTTTAGCAATTCTATTCTATCTTCTTCCCATTGTTGATGGGTGATATTTGGACAATGCTGTATAGATATATCTGAATCTTTATGTGAGTCATATGCATATAACAACATAAGCCATATAAGCACTTTCAAAGTCGAAGTATTTCTAAAAGAATTACATATACTACCCCAATGATGACTAATTTCTTCCACTGTGGACTTAAGAAAGTTGTTGTGAGTGGTATTATCAGATTGTTCTGTGTTCTGCAGTCTTAAGGCAGGATAAAACTTGATACTATCCTCTGAGGAGAAAGTAGACAGCAGCAATTTGGGATGGGCTCGGATTTCTGAAATACTTTCTGCAAAAGAAACAGACATGTACTCATTGGAATTTACAAATACACGTAATGTTTTGCACATCACTCCAATAGGTAAATTTTACTGTGGTAATGAACTATGCTAATTTAGAGCTTATTTTCATCATAACATCACCTTACATTAATTACCATAAGGCAAATGCAACTGTGTTACTATGTCAGAAGCTATGTATCTCTGTGAGAAAAAATTCCGCTTAAGACCATATTCTGTATGCGCTATATACTCCAAGTACTAGCAGTGAACTGCTGCTCAGACTATGCTTTACTAATAGTGCAAATAAAGGTATTAAATCCAAAATATGGTAGACATGCAGAGTCTTATAGGATAACTTTTAAAATGATTAAGAATTTAAAAGTAAAATGTGACTACAGAACTGTTTGCCATTTCACAAGCCTAAACCTTTGTGTTAGTGCATGCAGTTGCTATCAAGATAATTGTAAATCAGGCCAGTGCTTTTAAATTAAATTAAAGCTGTATGAATAGTCATCAGAGTAAAATAAATGGACACCACTCACACTCAGAGGGATTGTTCTTAGATGCTGAAAGATATAAAGTGATGGGAAAACATGCGTTGCTCAGTGCTTTGTTTGACGTGTTTGCTTTTTTCCTCACAGTACAATGCTGTGGATACAAATCCTTTATCTGTGTATATTATGCAGCCCATCTGGAACAAAATTATTAAGGTAAGAATTTTGTTTTAATTGAAATATTACATGATGATGTCAGATTTTATTTATTCTTTTTTAAATACGGCATGTATTTTCATTTAAAAATGCAAAGTGATCAGTAAAGCTGAAATTAAGATATCTGTATATAAGAAACATGTTTTGGGATATATAGCTGTATTTGAGTATGTCTGGATTTTGAGGTGGGTTTTTTATTACAAAAATAAGGTTTGTTAATTTTTTTCTGATCACTGTATAAAAGGAATTGTTTCTTTTTTACATCTTTCATTATTACATCTTTCACTAAACAGCTTTGCAGACATTGATGCGTTTACTGAGTACAAATTATTTTTGTGCAGCATATGCCACCTAACAACAGCCTGGCTTTCTCTCTGTGTTGTGCACATGATTTTATGCAAGTACTGTCTCATTTTCTCCCAAGAGTACTAGCTCAGGGGAGCTAGGCATTTCTCTAAGAAGCTGAGAATGAGAGCGGTTACCATGATCACCGTAACGATCTCTTGAATGCATTATCATATGCGGTTTTTAAAAATGAACCTGCTCACAATAAGTTTTGATGTTGTTGGCAAAAAACCACAAAACCAACAACGTTATCTGAAATAAATATGAACTTATTGATCTCCAAGGAATCAATGACTTCTGCATCTGCCTTCTTAGGGGAAATCTTTAAAGTGCAGCAGACTTGAAAACAAGCTATATACAAACAAAAAGGATGTATGTGGTCAGAGTGCTGTTGGATCTGCCGTCCTTGGGTTCTATAATTCAGGTGTCGTTTATGCTTGATATAGCAGGAAAACCAATCTCTCGCTCATAACCTCAATGTTAATTTCATGGAAGTGTGTATATGACCTAACAAGATTTAAAAAACAACCCACACAAGGTATGAGCAAAAAGCTATTGAAAGATGAGAAACTGAATTCAGCAATTCAGCTAAAAGACCCTGTTTTCATTCCAATCATAGTATTGAGGATAACAATGAAGCAGAAAAGCATACCCCACACCCCCCCACACCCTGCTCAGCATCCTGGAGTCCGGCTCAGGAGGTTAGTAGAGGTTGTACTGTGTGCTTTCGCTTTGATTTAGGAGATCCATGGGTATTCATCTGCTATCAGATTCAAGGGAGAGTATTATCAGCTAAAAACTTCCTTTAGAGATAAGTTCTTCAAATGGTTGCAGGGTTTTCCCAGAAGAAAAGCAACATTCTTGACCCATGCAGCATAAGGTGATAGATCCTATTAGAATGCTACCTCTTTAGATTTTTTTAATCCTCCTTAAATTTTAGGTGAGCATGATTTTGTTCACTTCTTGCTGCAGGAGAACCTAAACCAGAGCACAGGACTGAAAACCTATTTCAAAAGCTGAGAGATCTGAGTACAGAATCAAAGGCTGGAGTGGGTATTGTCTGTACTTTGTTATTTGGCTTGATTTGAACCCTGAAGATACAGCAATGAACATTCTGCTTTGCCTTCTAGTGCCAGAGCATTGCACGATAATTCTCAGTGATTATCACAAGGATTTAGAGGGAAATTATATTGCTTTCAGTTTTTGTAGAAGTAGTCATTCTAACATAAAAAATACTGCCAGGTAAAATCAGAGTCACGCAGAGGAACTGGGAAAGCACAGCTGCAGAGGGGAAAGCGGTATGTTTGGAGGTTGCAGTAGAGTCATCTTGATTGCTCCTAGAGATAAAAATCAGAACTGGGAGAGCACATATGAATCAGTTAGCTTTTAGTTTCTAATCTGGTGAAAATAAACATTCCACAGGGACTATTTTTACCACATTCTAGAGGCATTAAAACAACCTAAACTTCACAGAGCCAGGCAAACAAACAAACAAACAAATCTATGAGAACAGAGGTTTCGGATTTAGGTCTGGCCTTTCATCTGTCAATTTAGTCCTATTTGCAACACAAGTTTGTCTATGTTCTGCAACAGAATTCATTGGAAAGTATGTCTTCTATGAATGAGACATTATCATTCATTGTAAGATGTATTTCCTATGTTATGAGAAATTAAAAAGAGCCTGACATTAGACGTGATATGGGAATTTATGAGTTGGGATCTTGACATAATAAGAAATGAAAACTTGTTATCATAACCCAGCTCATTTACCTGTGGTGGGGATGCTAGGAAAGCAAAGAGTTTGTGCCTTTAAGTTAGGAATCTTCCTGAAAGTCCTGAGCATGACCTTCCTTCCTCTTCCAAGGACATCCTTATGCACTGTATCATGTGTCTGTGTCAATTTCAGTGTGGTTTTTGGATGTATGTAGTTCAGAAATGTGTTGAATTTGATGCTGAAGCAGAAAGTGAAAGGTAATGTTTAATGCCTGAATTCTATAATGGGCTTGAAGTATTCTGAGATACTCGTGTCTGTGGCAGCTTTTCCACATTGCATGAAACTATACACCTGTAGGAAACTACGGAGTAACAATTAACTTTCTCTGTGTGTTGTTTAAAACTGTTCTGATTTTGCAACTATAGGTATTTTGTCTTTAATTAATTCAATGTTCTGTCCTTTTGCCTTTAATTAGAAGATCTGTATTTTATAATAAAGCACAGTCATGTGCTTTCTGACACACAATGGATAGTACTACTTGGCTACGTAAACTGAATATTCCTCCTCTATTTGTATTCATTTGAAATCACATTAATGCAGGACAATGAGAGGAAAAGGAGGAAATCCCACTGGGATACACAGGTGTGTGCCAGCTTCACTGAAGTCAATTACTTCCCCCTCTCTTGCCTTTATAACCTTTGATTTTATCACTAGAATTGGGCATGAATAGAGTTTTAGTGGTCTCAAGTGACTTAGTGAAGGAATATTTCAAGTTTGAACAGAGCTTTACGTAAACATGTGTACTTTACCGTTTATTATTCAAATAGGTCATATATTTAAACATTTGCTCTGTGTGTTAAGGCTTTTAGCATGAATGGCCATGGACCCATTAAAACTGAAATGAGCATTTTGTGGAACTTAAAGTTTTTTAACATGACTTTGCAGGAAAGCAGATGTGATTTTCCCCAGAGGCATCTCCAGTTGTATTAATCATGTAGTGCATTGATGTGTTAGATTTCTACTGTGTGTTAATTAGATAATAAAGATTGCAAGATATTGTTCTGTAGGATACTAGTAAATTCAGGCTGTATTTATTTTTCCAACAGGTGTAAAAGTTAGTCTTTAACACCTTGTAATTTTTGAATTGTGAAATTGGGTGATGGCAGTGTAATACCAACCAAAAGAATAAGGGGCATTAAATGTAACAAAAGGGATTCTGCAACTGGAATATTTTCCAGATACCTTCCAAATACCCAGACAGATTAGGTTCATTAAGATCAAAAGAGTGTGCTTAGGGATTTAACTGCAGGAGAGGCTGCTTTCCAGGGGATAGATCTCCCATAACTGTTTTTCATGGTGTGTCTACTAGCCAAAGGGATTGTAAGTATTCTTTGATGGTTTCTTTCTTAAGATGCATGATGTTAGCAAGAAAGTGGGTTAAAGTACCCTCTTCATGTTTGCACTGTGAAAGCATAAATTATTTCCTGTAATAAGTTAATAATGGCATTGTGACTATTTAGAATGATGAGCCCAATTATAAAGCAGATACTTATGTTGCTCCACTTTATTTAATAGTCAACAGTTATTATGAATCATACAGGAGAAATCAGTCATTTTAAAACAATATAATGGATGGCATCTGTATATCCATGTAAAAGGTTCATCCACAGGTTGTCTTAAACGCACTATTTTGATCTAGGTTTTAGCTTAAAAGAGGCTGATCTATAATTCCTTGAGTATCTGTCCTTATTTCATGTAAGGTCATAGACATCAGAAAAAATTCCACAGCAGGCAACTCGTACCAAGCCTCCATCTTACAAGGTTTCTGCATCTCCTGGTAGCAAAATCAGGAGATGTGCTGCTGTTGCAGCATGCTGAGCGTGCAGTCACTGTAAGAAGAGGGGACTGTGCAGTGAAGGATTCCTCCTCAGGTGTTCTCCTAAAGGAGTTTCAGGGAATGCTTGCTGTCAGTTGTTCTTAGGGATTTAGAATTGGGCTTTTGAAAGCTCAGAATGATACATGATTTTTTTTAATTGCAGCTCTATGCATTCCATGATGTATTTTAAATACTATAAAAGCTGACATACAGTATCTTAAAATTAGTGACAAAATCCTATTCATAAGGAAAGTGAATCAGATTTCTTATTTTTCCCAATGTTATTAAAGAAAATATCTAAGAAGAATATTCAGGAATTTTCATGTGAGTTTTGAAAGTTTACACTGTACAACATCAGTTGCACATTTTTCCCTGAATGTTGTTACTTGTTCTATAATAGAAAAAGAGGATCTAGTCAGGATAGTCAGTCCAAGCATTCAAATTCATATGCAATTTTTTCATGTAGTAATAGGAGAGAGGAAATGTAAATATGTATACAAAATAATATATATTCATGTCTGTCCATCTAGCTAGTCCAAAAAAATTAAAAAGACATTTGATTTCAAAACTATCATTAGTATCTGAAATGATAACTTTTTCTTTAATATTGTTTTGCAGTATTTTATAGTGTACTTTATTATAGTGTTTAAGCCTTAGACACTCTGAAGAACTTGATTATAAGTTTCCAATATTTATATAATTTGAATATATTGATGGTGAATTTTAGTGATGGTAGTGATTGATACTTGTATTACTGCAAATATGTCGTGTCTAAAAATCACATAGGAAGCTGTATATGTTGCTTCTGAAAATATTCTGGAGAAACTGTTGCTTGGGAAGAGTGTTATTAAAAAGGATCCCTGTTGCAGTGTAAGGAATACCTTAAAGCTGCAGGGGATGAAGAGCTGAGAACAGTTAATGGGGCAAAGAATTAGAGGCTTAGGCAAAGTCAGAGAGTCCTTTTCAGCACTCTGCAAAGTAAAATGAATTAATGGAGTGTTTATAATTTATGACTTAAGAGCGAGACCCTGCAGAAAGTTACTCTCCAGAGAAGTAGGTAACTGCTTTAAACAGGGAGATCTTCTGAATCTACAAGTGTAATGCACCCAATGCCTGACTTTGTTGATGTATTGAATTGGAAATTATTGACTTCTTTTAGAAGAGGAAATTTCCTTGTTGTAGTGTGGGAATAGAATGCTTAAAAAGCCTGCCATGTAGATGCTGAATTACCACACTGGGGTGCTGCAGCCTTCTTTCAGTTGTGATACACACAACTGCAAGTAGCTTTCCTCCGTGGCTGGGAAAATAAGGGTAACGTACAGCATAGGATATACAACATTTTAAAACAAGATTTTTATTGCAGCCACAAAAATCAGGCAAGAACATTACATTTGAAAATAAATTTCAGAAATGAAAACTGTATTTTAATTTGAAAATGGGAAAATATGCACAAATCTGAACACCGCTGATGTCACCTGCAGGCTTCTCCTTTCCTGATAAAATATAGAAAGTATTTAATTAAAGTAGGACTTGAAATTTGAAATAGAATGTTTCTTACATTTTTTTTCTTTCTTTTCAACAGATAGTGCCTTTGTGGATCGCCCCCAATGTGTTAACATTCTCTGGATTTGTCATGATTTTAGTAAATTATTTTCTAATATCTTCCTATGACTGGGACTACACTGCCTCAGGTAAATATCCTCATGTCGTATGATTAGTGAGCTGCTTATGTCATACTTCTGAATTATACAGGGAAGTATCAGATACTTGGATCTTCCACTCACTCCCTTAATGAAGCTCCATGTGCATATAGGAGGATCTGACTTCACACATGGCATTACAAATTTAGATCATTTTATAGAAAAATCATATTTAGTTTTCTCCCTAAGTATGGGTTTCAGCATATGCTGCTTGAAGTCTATGATAACATCTCATTTTATTTAAAGTGTATTCCAGGATTTAAGTACACAGCCAAAACCAACACTAATGTTCTTCATAAAAATTAAATGGGTTTCCCATTTCCTAATACCTAAATGGGTGCCTGAACAAGTTCATTTCCCTTTAATTACTCCACCCTTCATTTGAGACAGCTTCTAGACAAAGAAGAAATAGTTTCTAAACAAATGCCTCTTGAAATGATGACTTTTGAAGTCCAAGTCCATATGTGCTCCTCATGGCAGACCAAGTCAAAAGCTTTTTGGAGCAAATTGCTCCTTAGCATTCAGTTCTGGGCTTCTCAGACCAGCTTGGAGCCTACAGAAAGTAGTAAGCATCTCCCAGGCGATTTATATATAAAAAGCTTTGCTTTTCTTTAAACTAGACAATTTGGTGAAGATTTAACATGTTTATTTCCTGAAACGATTATGTTTGGGATTTTTTTTTGCTGTCTTTCATTTCTTACACCTGTGGTTAGGTTCAGGAGGTACCCTGTGGGGTGAGCTGTTTGTACATTTATCACAACAGTTCTAGAGGCAGGGATGCTTATTAGCAGTTTTGGTTCAAAAATAACCCTGTATGAGCATTAAGTTTTCAGTACCAGCATATTATGTAGTTATTTGACATCATCCTTATACATTCTGGGGATTTTTTAAATCAATGTAGCTCGTATTTACTAAGTTCTGTAACAAAAGAGCATCCAGCGTAGATCTTTGAATGGCATAATTTTACCCTGACACGTTCCCAGTAGGCACACATTGAACTTGAAGACATTTAAAATTGTGATTAAGCCTGTTAGAATTGGGACCTCTATGTATACTTTGAAACCTCCATTTCACACGAGAACAGCGCCCATCATTTCTCAATTGATTGAAACCGTTCATGCAACCTTATGAGCCTTTTGAGTATCATATATCAACCCCATACCTAGGATCAGAAATAAAGGACTTCATTTCCTGGACAGCTGGTTTTCATTCTACAGTTTGCAAATTTGCAGCTAGGACTCTGAACTTGCCATCTTTTCTTTCAGAGTGGCAAGATGAGGCATTGATGAGGGCACTGCTTTAGGTACCGGTGTTTCCCTGTCCAGCAAGGGCACACCTCTGTGTGCAATCATTCCCTGTGTTTGGTGCCGAATGCCAAAAAACTGAGAGGGCTTTGTGCTTACGGTTGTTTAGTGCTGGTGCAGTCCTTGCTGAATTATGTTTAATGTAATATAGAATGCTCTTTGTAACAAGGATTGTTTTTTTTTAAAAACCAATTATATCCTTGCATTATTGCTATCAGCAGAGCAATAATTGAACCCTGGGTTCTGTCCAATTTGACTTTCTTCTGTTTTTTCAAGGAAATTAAAAAAAAAAAAGGTGCTAATATCTGTCCAGTCCAAAGGACATAAATTCCTGTTCAGATCTATACAGTAAAAGTGCTACGCCAACCCCATGTTGGCACTAATAATAATGATCACGCTTGAAAAGTACTTTTTTTTTCCCCTTTAGTATTATATTAACTCATTTGTAGACAGTCTTCCCATAACTGTGAAAGCTTTTGCCTAGTTACTGTCATTGTTTTGTGCAATACCAGAGTCATTTCAAAACCAAAACCCCTCTACCTTCTGTTCTTTACAGTTTATACATATTCAAACCTGCTCACTGCTTCTTTGATGGAGCTTACTGATGACTTAAGGTCAAAACTGACTATTTCAATCTGTTTGATGTAGTGGGCTAATCAGTGGCAGGTTGTTCATGTGTATATGCATATCTCAGTGGATTTCTTTGATGTTAACGGCTGTTACACTGACTCACTGCTCGATGTATTTCAGGTACCAGTCCTGGACTTGTTCCCACCTGGGTGTGGCTGTTCAGTGCTTTTACCACCTTTTGTGCTTATGCTTTAGGTAAAGTACAATGAAATCATTTACATGTCTGGCATCTTCCTATAGTTTTATCTACTAATGCACTACTGCTGATGTTGAGATGAAAAAGCATCGTGGATAAATTAATATAATTATATATTAGAGGTTCTATGACTGTAGCTCTTATCCCTCTTGAAAGTTCAAATTATTTTAGAGGAACAATGGAAATCATTAAGTAACAGTAGTCATTGCTGTTTGGTTTCATAAAAGTCTTTGGCCCCGAATGCTAACACTGTGAGAAGTTTCCTGACACAAGCATTAATGGAGGGTGTTTTCAAAGACAGGGAAAATAATGGTTACCCTTTACAGCAGAGAAAAAGGAAAATGAGTGTAGCGCTGTGTTTTAGAGTGTTAGGTGCTTCGTTGCTTAAGGTGTATGTCGGGAGAGATGGTGTGAATGTGGTGACAGGCCTGAGCTGCCTGTGGAGATGAAGTTGTTTGGTTTTTTTTAATTTCCTGTTGCTGTTTTTCTCCCATAACACCTACACCTCAGTTTCAGTCTCAGATTCCATTTTTACTTTTTATATCACACTGTGGCTGTATTTTTAAGTACATTGCACCTTGCTGTGCAGTGGTGTGAAGATGTAGGTCTGAGCTGATGAAGATGTGGGAGTGAGATCCACATTAGCATGGCCTTTTTGCTTCCTCTCATTCCAAACTAATCTCTCCACAATGTGGTGCAACAGAGTTAATTTTTTGAGGGACTCAAGGTAGTATATTTACATGGGCTGCACTGTGCTGTGTAAATGTACCTTTTCTTTGGAGCTGGTTCTTACAAGATTCTTCGCTGCAGTGTGTAGCCGTATGTTTTTGTGCCATAGTTAAGGTACCCAGGCTAGATATATATGTGTTCTAGATGTACACTGCAATGTTGTGCAAAGATGCTGCCCATTTCTGGTGTCAGACCCATGCATGTAGAGCTATCTTGATTAACCTGGGAGTATTCTCTTGTGCAGACATCTCTCTCTCTGTATTGTAAATGCCTTTGCATTTCTGTTCAAGTGGCAAGCTTGTGCCAAAATTATTTTGTCCAGAATTTCTTTGTAGCATAAAAATCACTGGAACAACAGTCCCTTGAGTCTGACTACCAGTCAGATTTCCCTGACAACTCTCTCTAATTATTAGCAGAAGCAGCAGTTTCTTTTGTGAAAATAATTCTTTATGTAATTGTATGGAATTTAATGAAGTGGCTATTGTTTTATAAACAGGAATTACATATTGGAGCTTTTAGTGTATGACACCACTGAAAGCTCATTGGAAATTCAGCTTCTGAGGTTCTTAATGTACATTATTTGCCAATGAGGCCTATAGTTCCTAATACTTGGGAGACAAGGAATATGATGTTGACAGTCAAAGCTATAATGAGCTGATGTATCTGCAGATTTTTATGTCTGCTCTCCAAGCCACTTCAGGAAATATTTAGTCTCAGATTTAATTCTGCATGGCCAAAGTTTTCCTTTTGGATGACTGCAAAGGGCCATAATAACTAACCAAATATGCAGTTCTAATCTCTCTCAACTTCTTTTTAATGACACAGTTACTCTCATCAAACTCCCTAGCATGATACTCTTTTTTCCCACCTTTGTTAAGATGGTTTGGTATCTTTACCCTGTCTTTAAAATGGAGTACTCTTTGCTGGTATTTTGAATTCCACTATTTAAAAGTTATGTAAACTTTAATAAAACTGAAGATTTATAAACCTTTATGAGACAAAACTGTAATATAAGAATTCCAAAGCAATGGAAGTGTGACACAGGGTATGTTCACTATTGAACATACAGCGTTGTTGGCGTGAATGGTTTCAAACTGAAACCTAAACAGAAAATATTTCCAGTCTCTTAAAAAGCTAGTGAAACCACATGGAAAATGTGGGTAAAGGGTTGTGAAAATCCTATTTTACGTATGTGTTATACAGTTCCTTTATTTTTTCTCCATGCTCATTAGAATTAGAAGCACTGTATTTTATGACACCATTATAAACCTAACTTTTTTCAGTGAAACTAAGATTCCTGCAAAATGAAAACCACTCTTTCACTGTGCTGTATATATTTCAGTATCTAGTATGAATATTCTTTTGGACAACTGAAAATAATATATGAACAGACAAATCTTTTAACATTCTTATTTTTAAAATACTATTTTATCCCTATAAATGAATTGTCTCCAGTTTGGGTAAATGTTCTTGAGATATAAAAGACCATAAACTGTTTAGGGATATTTACATACCTATTTGGTAGTTAAGTTTCAGAAATATCCTTTAACAGACAAAAGAATTTCTACATTTGTAGCAACACTATTCCAGTAACCTCAAACTTATACAATTTCTTTTCTGCACATTTCAGTAAGATACTGACAATTTATATTTGAAATCCTCTATGAGATCTCTAATTTTCAGAGTTGTAAGAACTGTCCCAAGAGATTTGTATTTGAGAGGAGGAGATCTCACAGATGTTTAGGTATTCCAATGGGGAGATGGTCTAAAATCTGTACAGAATGAAATCCCATGTTTTCCTGGTTTAGATCCCTGAAGTATATTTACATTAAACAAAACTCAGAGTACTGCCAAATAATCTGGAGAAGTAAGTAGCATATGATCTATAGCAGCTGTGGAGTCTTTGGTCTCCCTCTGCTGACCTGCATCTCTGGTTAGTTTTGGGTTACTAATGATCAATAACTAATAACTATTAGCTACAGTACCTTCCAAATAACATTATAAAGAAAAACAAAATTCTCCATGTTATTTTGATATTTAGGGTAACAATAAGTAATCTGTAAGGCTTGTTCTGTGTACTTTTTCCTAAGAGATTTCTCCTGTGTATTTACACTTCACTTTAAGAAAATGTTTCTATTTCTCACCAGCACAGGCGCAGAGAAGAAATTAAGGATATGGTTTGGCAATACAACTAAGAAAGGTTACAGCTGCTAAACTCCCTTCCTCCTCCTCCTCCTCCCTGCATTCACTGCTCCTCCCTGGTGCCACCTCCCTTCTTTTTTATACCATGCACAGTGACGGTTCTGTTCAGTGACCCTGAAGAAAATGTAATATTTGCTGTCTTTCCACCAGCTGAGCAGGCTGAGAGTTCAACAGCAGTGAACTCTCAGATTGACTCAAACTGTATTGTCCAGCTGCATCCTTAGAGTGAGGTCCAGTAGAGTGTTTGGGCATCCTTCAAGAACTTTAGTATAAGTGATCAACATATAACTCACCTTAACAGTAAGGTATTTATAGAATCACAGAACCATCTAGGTTGGAAAAGACCTTTAAGATGAAGTCCAGACATTAACTCAACACTGCCAAGTCCACCACTAAACCTTGTTCCTAAGTGCCACATCTATGGGTCTTTTAAATACCTCCAGGGATGGTGACTCCACCTCTGCCCTGGGCAGCCTGTTCCAATGCCACTGCCCTTTTGGTGAAGAAATTTTTCCTAATATCTAATCTAAACCTCCCCTGGCACAGCTTGAGGCTGTTACCTCTTGTCCTATCTCTTGTTACATCAGAGAAGAAACCAGCGCCCACCTTACTACAGCCTCCTTTCAGGTAGTTGTAGAGAGCAGTAAGGTTTACCTGAGCCTTCTTTTCCCCCCAGTTCCCTCAGCCATTCCTCATCAGACTTGTTCTCCAGACCCTTCACCAGCTTCATTGTGGTTCTTTGGCCTCACTCCAGCACCTCAAAGTTTCTCTTGGAGTGAGGGGCCCAAAGGTGAGCACAGTATTTGAGGTGTGGCCTCGCCAGTGCCAAGTGCAGGGGGACAATCACTTCCCTGACCCTGCTGGCCACACTGTTTCTGATACAGACCAGGATGTTATTAGCCTTCTTGGCCACCTGGGCACACTGCTGGCTCTTGTACCTTAAGATTTCAACCAAAAGACTCTTTAAAACATCTTCTGCAGGTACACACACAAATACATTTTGTGACTTTTGGCTGCCACATAACAGTTAGTCATGGAGGCATTTGGCATCAGGCAACCTAAATGCCTTAGTGATACTACTCCATAAGTGGTCTGAAATCTCAGAGGGTTCACAACACCAATACATGGGCAAGAAGTCCTATGGACACTTTTCCGTGCTTTCATTGAGAAACTGATCATAGGGACTGACATTAAAGTGTTTAAAGACCACTGAGGACAAGTAATTATGAATGTCTTTCTAAAGCTCACAACAAAGGTGGCATTTAGTTTAAGAGTGAAGGTAAGGACAGAAAAACGTTTTGACAACTGAAGCAAATATTTTACAAGCAATCCTAACATGTTGGTATTGAAGCCACAGTTGTGCTTCAGTTTGCTGTCTTTGATTTATTTTTCTCATACGTTATATATGGCAGTAGTGAAGTGTATGTGAAGGAAGTTACTCCTTTTGTTGTGCTCTAACTCTTTGTTTCCTTTCCTGATCCTTCTAGATTCCATAGATGGGAAACATGCTCGAAGGACTCAGTCCAGTACTCCTCTGGGAGAATTATTTGACCACGGGCTGGATAGCTGGGCTACCTCCATTTTTGTGCTTTCGTTTTTTTCTGTCTGTTCCCGGGACAATGGGAGGAGTGGAATTTCTGTATATACAATGTATATATATTTAAGCATTGTCTTGTTTAACTTTATGTGTTCACACTGGGAGAAATATAACACAGGAGTTCTTTTCCTTCCTTGGGGATATGACATAAGCCAAGTGGTAAGTATTTATCATTCCTGCTTTGGTTTTATTTTTTTTTACTGTGTTAGTGTTTTCATAATATTACAGAAATAGAAAAACAGAGCTCAAGGCAAATATATTTGGCCAAGATTTTGAATGTGAAATAGCATAACCCTAAAAGTAACTCAAAAATATTTCCTGCATTTGCAAGGAAGGGATGCTCTAAAGCAGATTGTCAGCATTAGAGATTCATTGCCTTTCAGGAAAAAAAAGGCTTGGAGCAAGCCTAGCAGTCAGATATGCTCGTAAGAATGTCATTTAACTACATTTGATTTGTGGTATTAACAAAAATTATTGTGCTGTCTGAAGCCATAAGCAATTTTCTCACCAACACTGGGTTCCGAGGCAGTATGTGAATTAGTTCAAGGAGTGTTTATTAATAGTAATTATACAGCTATACAACACTAGACATTCTCAATTCTACCTCTTCCATCAAATGTGGTGATGGAAGCAGCATTGTACCTATACAGCAAGCATCAACTGTTTTCAAGTGAGTTTTATCCTTGGAAAAAAAGTAAGTCATACCATTAGAGGTTTCCACTCTGGGAATGGCATTCAGTAATGTGAATTACATATCAGCCAGTGTCCGTCTGAGTTCTTGACTGGCTTACAGCCCTGCTTGAGGTGGCCCTCTTCAGAAACATGCCAGGGTACCATGGTGAGTGGTGGCCTCCAGGCCAGCAGCAGTAACAAGCTCAGTGCACTGCCAAGGGCCTAGCACTGGGATTTCTGGGCTGTCTTATGTATTTCTTAGATACCCAGGTTCTTGCAGCCTGAGAAGCACAGTCCCAGTCTTCTAATCTTCCTGTCACAGGCATAGGATGAAAGGTACAGGCAAATATATATAATTGAAAATAAGTTTGACAGATATTTAAATATGTGCTTTAATGGAAATACAGTATTTAAATTAATGGCTGCAGATGTATTGCTGTAAACCTAATCAGAATCCAGTGGTTTGAGATCAACTGAGATGGTGGTCCAGCTGTGGTACATCTGTTTCGTCCCCTACAAAATAGGTCCTGGGAGAAGAAGTTGGCTCAGGACTAGGACATTAGGCAGCCAGCTGGTCTGCAAGGTTCAGCCATGTTTGTGTAAGGTTTCTTAGTGAAGTTCTTCCAGCAGGAGAGGAACATCTATGTTCAAACCTATTTCATTTGCTGCTCAGATGATCACTGTAGATATACATGTGAATGTTTAGAAAGCTCTTCTAGGTTGCTACAGCATCTGAATGATATTCGTGGTTAAATGTGGGAGTGGGTATCAATTAGTGGAGCAGTACTGTTGTCAGTGCCTTTTCATGACCTATGCCTCTCTCACTGCTTTCCCATCTGGGAAATAATGGTAGTAACATTTCCTTGCCTGACAGAGTTGTGGTGAGGCTGGATTTCAGAAAGTTTGCAAACTGCTTTGATTAACTTGGATGCAAGGTGCTAACAACTGCTATTTCCCGTCCCCCTTTGATACTGAATTGCTGTCCCACATGCTCATTTCTAGTAACTTCTGTGATGATTTGCTTACAGTCTAAATGCTAAGGATATAAATGTAAGGATTTTTTTGATGCACAATCATCAGCAGCAGTGAAAGACAGTGCTACTGAATTTTCTGTATGTCAGTTTACCCACCTGTGAAAATCAGCTTTTGTAGCTGTGATTGCCTATGAACAAAGAAAAGACAGGACTTGTAGATCAAGGTAGTATTTTTTCCATTAGTTCAAACTACATTTCACGCACACCGGAAAGTTTGGGTTGTTTTCAGCTGTACTCACCAGTCTAGTAAAAGATCTTAATTCCCCTACAAAAATTGCCTTGCCCTTGTTTTGTAAGGGGCAAGGCAGTACAATAATTCAGCAAATTTTGTATGATGCACCCACTATTAAAGGTAGCTCTTCATCTCCAGCTACTTGGAGGTGATGAGGATGCTGAGGACCTAAGCAAATGGCTGATGATGAGTAAGAAAGGTAACGTTCCCTTTGCTGTTTTTTCCCCTGCCACCTACCTGCCAGATATTCCCACAGCCACATTCAGAGACAGAGTGGTAGCACTCACAAGCTGCTTTCAGACTGATTCCCAGCGTTTAGTTCACTATTTCCTCTGTGGCATTCCTAGCTGAATTGCTGCATAAATGCGCCTCTCTGCTCTGTCTTGAGTAACTTCACCAACGACATGATGCTGTCACATTGGCGTGTCAGACATTCAGGTAGTCTAGCCCTCTGCTTCTGCTTTTAAATTTGATAGTAGCCAGGAACTTTGGACTTTGTTATCACCACAAAGGTCAGGAAATACAGTCATTAGTATAAGTGTGCAAATAGATAACTGTTGACCTTAATGAAAACATTACTGGCTTGTAGCTCCCAGGACACCGCTGCTGAGTCAGCTCCACTGTATGTAAACACTCCCTGGCTCTGTGTTCACTGCGGTGTTAGAAGAGCTGCTGTTCCTCATGAAAAAACACCTCATTGTAGACAGAGAAATCCGTGGGGTTTATGCAGATCACAGTTTTCTGCGAGTTGATGACTCACCAGAATTGGGCACCTAATTACGGTAGCTGGGCTGTAATTGGCACTCCAATTAGCTTTGATTACAGCAGACAGCTGTTTATAGGAAGCTGCGGTTTGTAAACTTGAAAAATGTCTGTAACGTGTCTGAGAGATGCGTGGTCAGAGGAATGCTTGCTTTGTGCATTCAGAATCAAGGAGGAGGCGTCTGCAACAGTGAAAACTCTTCCCCTCTCTCCCCTCTCCAGCACAAGGAGCTACCTTGTGCCAACTCCTCTGTGGGCAGAAAAAGATGCAGGAGAGGAGCCTCTTTACACCATCTACACACTTTTCATACACCTTAGAGTAAGCACACCTATTAAAACCCCCAAAAGTCACGAAGAGAAGTCTGTAAAATAAACCTTTGCTATGTTCTGTGAGAAGTTCTCAGATACATCTTGTGAAAACAAACATTTTTACTTTGTCACAAGCCCAACGAAAGAAAGTTAATACCTAAAGACAAAACTTTCCCGATAAAATGAAATTTCAGGCTTCCTGCCATATGGTCATTTTCACAGACAGTTTGAGCACTGTGTTAATGGAAAACGTTTCAACACCTGAACAATTAATACTATTGGAACACACTTGTGAAATTGAATATTACAGTAAAATTAAAGTTGTGGGGTTTTTTGTTATTTTGTTTTTTTTTGTTGTTTGTTTTTGGTTTTTTTTTTTGTGGAATCATACAAGATTTAAAATCACAGCCAGAATATTTTTTCAAAACAATGAAAAAATGTTTGATTTTTAAATGTGTGGTACATCATACAGCATCCTCAATGTACCTGTGTGTAAAACAGAAATGATGAATCATTAGGTGGAAGAAAAAATACAGAATTTTCCCAGTGCCACATTAAAGAAGTATTCTGAATTTACAGAGGGACAAATGTGATTATGTTGCCGTGATTTACAGAACTGTGGCAAGGTAGGGAGCCACTGCTCAGGAGCCAGTTATCCTGTTGTTCAGCCATATCAAATGGCCTACAGATTAACAGATTTTTATCTGCATAAGTACTCCTCCTCCTCATAGATAAGACCTTGGCAAGCCAAAGAATTTCCTGGCCAGATGCTGCAGTTGAATCCAAGATTGTATATGTCTGACACTAACTTGCTATATAGTCCTGACCTGTGGTATTTAATTTGGACTTGCCATTTTGCAAAAGGTTGCAATTATTTTTACTTACTAAAGACTACATTTGTATCTGAAAAGTAGTAAAGCTGATCTATGCCAGGGAGATGAGGAGTAAAAAATTACTCAGCTGCTAATATAGCTTAGATCAAGGGGCACAGCCATTTTCCAGCTTTCTAAAGGAGGTCTTTGGGACTGCCTCAGTGAAGTCAAAGTTACATCTCCTTCAAAAAGAGCACACCAAAAATTTGAAGCCAATGAGTGTACTTTCATACCCTACCACTGTTAAATCAGAGGCAATCTTAACCTGCGAGTACTGCATCACCAAATCCCAGGGCAGGGGTTTTCCCCGAGAGCCTGTTGCATCAATGTTACTGTTCCTAGAGGTGTGCTGGCATCTGACAGGGATACTCATGACTGCATTGCCAAAAGCACTGTCTGTAATAATGGATAATGTCGAAGTTCCTCTTTTATCACTTGCCAAAAAAGTCTGTTCAGAATTCAACTTGTGAGGGTAAATTCAGGCTCCATTAGAACCAGTTGGAGTTTTGCCATCCGTCATGTCTTATGCATAACATAATGCAATTTCTGCAGAAAGCCAAATGGTAGCTCTGCTGTAGTCAGTTGCAAAACGCATGATACATGTCCTTCATTTAGACCAAAATTTGACTCATTGTCTTCAATGGCCCAAGATGTAACTCTCATACTAGCGCTTCTCCGCTGCAGATCTGTTGTGCTGCTTGTTCTTGCACAGGTGAATCAAACATCCAACCCGGCAATGCCAATTCAAGGAAAACTCTTGAAGAGCTACATACTGATAGGAGAAGAATCTTGAATATAGATACAGAGAAGCAAGTGAAGTCAAATATAGTAATATCTGTATGTAATAAGGAATTTAAGCAACATCAGTGTTTGCTACTAATCTGTGATCTTAAGCATCAGGTTATCTAAAAAGGAGATTTTCAGTGTATCTTTAAATTAAAGTGGGTGGCCTGGGCTAAGCCAAGAAACAGGTTTCAAGGTAGAACAGGTTCTCTTGAGGACATGGGATTAAGAATACAAGGGCTGGGAACCACTGCAACACAATCATTACTGCTTTTGAATGTTGCACACCTAAAATGGCAAGATTTCTCCAATTTGTACCATGTATGAGGTGCTACAGGTAATACAATGTGAAATGTATCGCCATAGGAGCTGTAGGGTTTTGACAGCATTAAGATTGCTGACCTCAGCCGGGTCACAGAAATATCTCTGAAAAGAGAGTAAGAACTTCATTGACATGTCTGCTGAAATGGATAGCGCTTCAGAGAGACTCAAGAGTCTTACGTGTGAGCCCTTTCACTCCTAATGATGTTTGACTACGTGTTTCTTTTTGTGCCCTGTAATAATGCTATCTTTCAAACAAATTAAACATCAGGGAGGGCTTCAGCTCACTCTCCTTCTTTTTATTTATTCACATGAAATCAATTATTATTATTTCAGGTGAGCTTAGTTTTTTTTTTTCCTCTCTCAGTTATTCTGATGTGATCAGTTCAGGGGGCTGAGCTGCAAGAATAACCACATTGCCGATTCTGAAGTCTGTATGCAGATACAAGAAAGTGTATGTACACTGGGGAGACCTGACATTAGAAAGGGATTTAGGGATTTTTGTGTTTTCAAAAGGTAAGTCTGTAATATTTGCCAAATGCAGACAGATGCACACATTGCAGGGAAATTACATGTTTTCCCCACATTTCATATGTTTTAAATAACTCTCTTTGTGACCCTGAAAGCTGCTTCACTGCTTAGAAGTACATGTTTTGGAATGGTAGCATAAGATCCTGTATTGTGGAGACAGGAGGAAAATAACAGCTTGTATTAAGATGATAAGCTAAATTCCGTGTCTTTAGAAGTAAAGGATTAAAACTACATTATCTTTTTTCCTATAGGTATTAATAGCAGCATATCTGCTCACAGGTTCTGTTGGCGTGGAAGTCTGGCACAAGCCTCTTCTCTTTGGTTTTTACATTACAGACGCATTAGTAATCTTACTTATAGGTAAGTGTCCAAATCCATGCAAAACTGTACTGCTTTTTAATTATTTTGACAAGATATTTCTTTTATTTCCTTCTTTTTATTTTGTGTTGTTTAGTCTAAAAAGTCCACATGAATGGGGCTGATTTAAAAGACAAAAACTTGAAAACTTCAAGAAAGGAGATAATTTTGAAACATTTTTCCTCACCGAATTACTGTTACACATAAATAATACAAAAAATGTTCCTTATCTGGAACATGTCACTCACATTTACATATATTATAAGTTTAATGTTTTGGCCTACAGCACACTATGCTCCAAAACATTTTAGATAGAAGGAATAAAGACATCATTAAATAGTCTTATAAGGCACAAAAGTAGATCTGAAAAGAGCCAGGTGTATTCTAAGCTCTTCTTTAGACTTACTTTCAGAGCTGAAGTGATGCATTTTTCATACACAGCAGTAGTCTATTTGCTCATCCTCTGATACTATCTGTGCAGTTTGAAATAAGCATTGAACATTTTTCAACTGCTATAGCTAGACTGAGAACGAGAGCAGTTACATTTTAATTATTTAAAACCATGGTAGCCTTAGCTAAAAATGTGTGTGTGCAAAATGGCTTTGGTGTGTTGCTTGTAAGGTGAATAAATTAGCATGTAAATTTGAGGGATTTTTATATAAGCATGCAAGTGATGAGAAGAGGAAACAAAACACCCCTGTTTGACACAGAGAGTTTAGACTTACATCCCAAGAAGCTTCTTCAGTCCTTGAGCCAAATGGAGAACTTGGATATAGGTGCCCACCCAATGCAGACACTAAGAGACATCTGAGCATTTCAGGGGGGACGTTTGAATCCACTGCATTGACATGGTGAGGTCTTCAGCAGGGACTGCCTCCAGTCTCAGCAGTGCTTCCTAGAATTGCCAGACTGGAAAGGACCCTGCATTCAAGCTGTGCTTTCTAGTGAGTATAAGTATAAAAGCACATGGTTTTGCAGACCTTTGTGCTTTACCCAGAGTAAAACTGACCCTGTGTAACCAAGGGTATTGTACAGTCTTTTTCTTGTCAGGCCTGTTTTAGGCACTCTGAGGAAAAGAAGGAAAGAAAGTGGGAATAAAACAGTGGTCGCCTTTTCAGTAAGCCATGATTTATTCAGCTTGTCAGAGGTGCAGCTATAACATGCCCTCTGGTGGCTGGCAGGGCAGACGGATGGGGAGTGATCTGTGCCCTTGAAGAAGTATCACAGGTCCGAGAGAGGTGGATGCTGGCTTGCTCACAGGCAGCAGGTTAGGCCTGTGATGGCATGATGTGCTAGCATGGGCAAGTCCATTGAAAACGCTTGTTCTGCCCTACATGCATGGCTGCTTTTGGTCTTGTCACTAAGGCACATGACAGGCAGTTCAGTGAGTACACTGATGTCTTCCCTTGTGCTTGGGAAGCCATGGGTGAAGGTTTAATTCAAACTGCTCAACATATTGGGAAGGTTTGTGGTAGGAAAGCATGTCAATGTCATCAAATCTGCAGAAGTGAGCATCCTTTTTCATATTTTACCAAAACCAGCTGCAAAGCAAGGTTTGATGAACTATTCCATTAGCATTAGAAAGAAGTACTGCTTCCGTCTCGTGTGGTACACTTGCATGAATGGAACTGTGAGCAGAGAATTGAGTATTTCTTCCAGCATTGTCCTCAGCAGAGTAGGCATAAGTAAGAGCCAAAAGATTTATTTTAAACACACTCTCACACTCTCTCCACAATGCCATTAACAGGGCCACTCTTGCAGCTTAATTATAGCTAAATATGGGCTTAAAGTATGCAAGAAATGATCTTGCTTGACTCTGTGTTACAAAACTGTCACAGTGCATGGTAAATCTCTTAAAAACAGACACTAAATTTAAATATTAAAAAAAGGTAGAATCCTTCCACTGAGGATCATGCTGATCCAGAAAGCACAGGTTTGAATCTAAGCTCAGCAATAGCGGTTATCATTGGAGAAGCTGTGTGCAGTGAATATGGATATATAAAGTTTTTGGAAGCTTGCAGTAAATTGTGGGACTCCACTGCGATTGCAGGAAAAGTGTTGATGTAACCTACACCAACAGCTAAGCAGACAGGAAGACAAAATTATTCTCTCTCCCTTAGAGAGGCTGCAGCAAGTGTGTCTTGCTCAGCCAGATCCATTTGTATCAGAGAGCCCCCTCTCTGGCATGCTCAGTTAAATGCCTCTGTGGCTAGTTAAAAAATAAAGCGATGTAGTGGGCCCCTGATGCTTTTTATGAGTTAGTTTCCCAGGACCTTGAGAGGAGCCATTAAACTGTAACTGGCTGTCCTTAACCATCTGATGGCATTTAGTAGTCACTAGTGGTCCTCCTAACAATGAACCTGTAGCTACTCCATCAATACTTGGCATTCATTTCACACTTTTACTGTTCTGCACACAACAGGAGTTCAGCTGCTGAGCCGTCACTTCTCCAAGAACAGCTGGGCTCTATCTAGTACCTTCTATAGTGGAAAGGCATCCAAATGAGATGCACAAGAGTGGAGGTTTTCAGACGCCTTTCCAAGGGTTTCTGGGGAAAAAAAAACCACCATCAAACAGGAAGACTAGCCCACGTATAACCTAAGGATGAACTCTGAAAATGTACCTCCTTCAAGGAAGCTGTGGTGTCACCAGGTGACACTCACTCCCTGAAAATAATGGACTTTTTATCAGGTGCCAGACCACACAAAGATATACATAAAAGTGCAGCAATGGCAGTGTTTAGATTAGATGTTTTAAGAAAGCTTCCCAAGAGAGAGCTTTACATATGTCCCTGGGAACTCTCTAGCATGCTGTGAACACCTGTAGGGAGGCCATGCCTCAGGCTGCTGAACAGAGATCTCGGAGGACTCCCCTGTGAATCAGAGAAACTTCTGCATAGTATTTTATGGGAACTTTTCGCTTGTCCACTGTAATTTTCACAGGCAGTGAATGCAATTCCATCCTGCAGCTCCAAAACACACACCTAGCTGGACCCCAAACAAATGAGGAAGGCCATTTTCCTGTTTCCAGAGTGCATTGTCCTGGCTGCTAGACAGAAATGCCTTTTCTCCTAGCGCAAAAGCGGCCAGACCTTTCTAAAGTGATGTGCCTGTGTGCTCAGCTGGAACTAATTACCTCTGCTCTCAGCAAGGCTCCTGTGGATGACACTCCAAAAGCTCTCTTGGGATTTAACCACAGTTGTCCCATAGCATTATCTGGCTAACCAGGGTCCCTTCAAAGGGCAGCACTGGGGTGAGAGCTATCATTTATTTTCACCCCTCCAGGGTATCCTGAATGCCTAGCATTCCTTGTCACTCTGCCATCAGGTTGAGAGCAATATAAAATATTTACAATACGCATTTTAAAACAGTCAATTCCTCACATGAAGTCTGTGGTGCTATAGACTTTATAAGAAGGTCTTTACTGACAGGTAAACATAGTAGCTCAGGGAACAGCATTACTATTGATGATGGTTTCTGTCTCACATTGTAATTAAATGAACTCTAATAGGTACATGTTCTGAATAAAGCATTTTCCATTCTTGGGACATTCATACTTGCTGTCTAGGAGATAGGTTTTATAATGTCTAATAAAATTTGAGTTCAGGCTGCAATCCTTTCCTTACTAGAGACATTTATATATCTGGTTTCCTGTACCTGACTGTTCCTTTCCATACAAGTTATTGCAAATTTCTTTCAGTTCGTTAAATTTATTCAGAATTGACCAGAGGACGCAGAAGTTATGATGGCATGCACATAAACAGGCATGTTTATGTGTTAAAATGTCAGCTTCCTTAGGAAGCCAGGTTGGAAAAATGACTTCTGGATGCACAGAAAGATTCCTGCTGCTCATTAATTGCAACCACAAGAATAAGCATTGTGGGTAAAGGACCAATAAAGTGTGAATCAAAAATGTTGTGCTGCATCAGTGTGTGGCACATGGGGCAGACAGTTCTGTGATCCAGAGATAGTGGCACATTTGAGTCCACTCCATCTGGCTACTGATGCCTGTGGCAGAGCTGAAGCGAATTTTCAGCGTGCAGGTTTGAACATGAAATGTGACTGGAATACTAACATCTGTCAGAGAGCTGAAACTTGAACTTTCTTCTGGAGATGGGGCCAAAGCAGTCAGAATTTTTTCCTGTGATGTGAATTGGGGTGGGTTCTGTGCTGACTTTTGCAGAGTGTGTGTTCCTTGAGGTTCACTCCCTCTCCCAGCTATTGAAGTGTATAAAACAAGGAGTAAACACATAAATGAAAACATAAAAGCAACAAAAAACTAATGATGAGACCAACCCACAAGATTTGAAATACGCCAAGTATTTGAATTCCTTCATAGTAGGAAAGCACAGTTAATCCATCTAAACTACTGCCCTGTCCTTACACTGTCCTACAGTCTATGTATCAAAGTAGGACACAGAAGTCCTTGCAGTGAGTAATTATGCAACAGCCTGCCTTTTTATCAGTGTCAGAAAATGTTTAGGAGGCCACAGTCAAATTATAAATTGTTTCTGTCCCATATGGATGAAGTAATTCTGTAGTGATTTCCTATAGTTCCCATTGCAAAGCAGCTGATGGTTCTGCCTTACTGATGGGTAGTTGAATGGTTAAATGTTAAGTGATATGTTTTCAAAATGCTATCACTCCGACAAGCTTTGACTAGCCTGGTTTGAAAAGTGTGGTTAAAGTGAGTTGGCTTCTACAGGTCTGTCACCAATTTAACATTTATGAAAGCATTGTTGTGACAGATTGTACAAGACTTCGTTGAAGTAAAGGGCGTGAAATACTCACCTGTCACTTGAGATATATAAATAAAAAGTGGTTGAGGTCATGTTTGCAGTAACTCATCCGAACCAGTCAGAACAATAAGCCCAGAAAACCAGAGCACAGAAGGCCGGAGGCAGGGCAGTGTCACAGGATATTAATGACAAGTGGGAATGGGCTTGGTGGTGTTAGCTGCGAGGAGTCACGTCACAGGTGCTGGGAGCCCCAGAAGAGTCAAAC